GAAGATTTACTCTGGGACTTTCTTTTATTTAAAACCAATATTCTCTTCCATTTAACAAGAAAAGTGGGTCAGCTGCAGTGAAAGCAGCACTGCCCCAGCAGGACCATGGTGCTGCCCCAGTGGGATGAGGGGAGCTGAAAAAGCAGGGAATGCTCACAGGATCTGCTACAGAGGTGGAGGGAACACCATAAACTACAGCCATGCACCACATAAGGAGTGTTACAGACTCAGGCCTGGCACAGGAGTGGCATTTCTTTGGAATATTTGCCTGTAGTTAACATAGAAAAAGCACTTGTGCAAGAGGGGTCATCAGACCAGAGACACAGAGCATCCTCATTTTCCCAAATCTGTGGGATCTGGGATTTACCCACTTGGTTTGGACACAGAGGGCACTGGCTCAGTGTGCCAGTCACATGCTCTGGAGCCAGAGGGATTCCTGTTCTTGCCTGCACAGCCACTCCTGAGGCATCACATCCCACACAGAGCACGAGCCTGGGACCTGCCCCACTGAGCACAGCCCTAAACCTCTCACCCGGGGGGCACAGAGAGACAAGAAGGGGTTCATACCAACTTCTGCTAATCAAAAGTAGGTATTTTAATTGTTTGTTAAAAAAAAAAGGACAGAGATTAGACTGTAACTCCTCCCCCTTCCGGGCTAAACACCCTCCAAAACCCCCTTTCTGTCCCTGGCTTTGGGGACACCACACAATTCAGACATCACTGGGTAATTCCTAACACACCCAGCCCAGGGATGGCTCAGGAAGTTTCCCCTGCTGTGTCACTCACTGCTTGGTGGATGTCAGCCTTCACTGCTTCACTCAGCATTCCCTCAAACACAAAGGAGTCTCCAAATTTCTCTGCCTGTGGAAAGAACAAAGGATTCAGCCACTATGTCATCAAAGGAAGGTTATTCTTAAAACCCCACTCACATTTACAGCTCTGTTTATCAAGAACAAGGACATTCTAATAGTGATTTTGAGTTCTCTTTCAAGAAAGCTCTTTTGGAACAGAAGAGAAGGGATTTTAGGCCTGAGTTGTTGTTCAGCAGCCACTGGGCAGATGGCAGCTCACAGAGCTTCTGCACATTGTATTTCCTTTTGTTAATTAAAAATGCAGTTCCAATTGTCCCAACTGCTTTCAAATGCTACAGTCAGTAATATAACGTTCAATTCATATTTCATTTCTCTTATTTTTCCATTGGGAATCCCAATAAAAGACAAGCCTTGTCAGTTATTGCTGCTTCATCAATGTTTTAAAGTGCTGCTACAGCAATAGAAGAGTTAAAAGTAACTCAGTCATTATACCCAGCATCATATAAAGCCAAAAGAATGAAAACCACCAATAATTTAAATGAACCACAGTACATGATACCAAAAAACTCTGAGTGAATTGATACACCTGGCAAGTAAAACACGTTATCAGAATTGAACAGATTTGCCCCTCTCAATTTCTTCATCTTATTTGAGGTATTTAAAGAATGAGAATGATCCTCGTGAGCTGTTTCTGCACACCCAGAACTCTTCAAGAAGCACAGTTTGAAAGAAGATCACCCAAATTACAAGAAATTTTAGCACATGACCATAATCTTTTATCTCTTCAGTTCTACCTGCCAGAGCTCAAGGAGTGCTTGGACAACACTCTCGGGGTAGGGTGAGACTGTTGGGGTGTCTGTGCAGGGCCAGGAGTTGGTTTGATGATCTTTGTGGGTCCTTCCGGCTCAGGATATTCTGTGATTCCACATTTAAACACCACCCCCCACGTGCTCATCCCAGTTTGCAAAAAGCAAACCCTGTTCCAAAGAGTTAAGCAACCTTTGTTCATAATAATCGAGCTAAGAAACAGAAATAGAGACAAAAGAAGCCCTTCATCCAACCAGAAGGATCCTGCCTTCCAAATGAGAACCAGTTTTTCAAGTGAAGTCACAAAGTGCCTCCTCTGAGACCTGATCATTAGCGAGGCTTTATTTGCCTCAAAGGGCTGTCAGGGTTTGCTCCAAGTTGCTTAGGAACAGTCACTGTCAGGAGGGATCAGAGCTCCAGGCACAGGTGGCTTCTTTCTGGGAAGAACCTTAACATATTCCTAGTCCCTTGTTCCCAGGAACATGCACAAAACTGTCATTACACTTGCTGTTCTCTCCTCCTCAGGCACGGGGCTCTCTGCTCTCAGCTGCACTGAACCACCCTGCAGGGTCCTTGGCCATCACAGGTTGTTAAATCCCTCCTCCCTGACCCTCTAAAATGAGGAAAATCTAACCCACTTGTACTGGTACAAACAGCTCTAGCACTCAGAGATCAAAAAAAACCCAATCAAACCAACCCAAAAACCCTGTAGAGACCCGTTGGCATCAGCCAGGCTGCAGGAAAGGCATGAATTCAGGAGTCAAGACACTTATAAAAGATAACAACACACACCAGGGCAGCAAGGCAAGAAAAGTCCTTGTCTCCACTGCTTACACCAGGAATGTTTGAGTACACAAATCCCAAGCATTATTGTGACATCCTTCAAAGGAAAACTTTGATTTTTTCATGAGGACTTTCTGAGCACAAAGCAGGATGATGGCAGGAGCCTGGAGCCCCCCATGCCTCACCTCAGTGACGTGGCCAGTGGAGTTCACAAACCTCTCGAACTGCTCGTTGCTGACCTCGTACTGATCCATGTAGAAGCTCTTCAGGTGGACTGTCCTGGCAGGGCCCTCCCCATCCTGCGGGATTGCAGGCTCCTGGGTGCCCATGGTGAACACCCCTCCCGGAATCGCCACCATCTGCAGGGCAAACACCCCCCAAGAGGGTGAAATCAAAGACTGAGAAGCCTCAGCTGGTCTTGCTGCCCCTCCTCCTCCTCTCTGCAAGGTGTTTTTGTCCTGAGCAGAGTTTCACTTGCAAACAGCACAACAAACCAGCTCCTTGACCAGCCCCTGTTTGGGGCAAGGAGCAAGTGGAACTTGAACTGAGAACAACCCCCATTTGCAGCTCTTTGTACACGAAGTCTGGGCAGTGCCAGTGCTCCCACGAGGAGAAACATGTTAACTGGTTTTTATGTTGCAGTTTGCTGTTGTTCCTGCAGTTACACCCCTGCCAGCGCACAAAGGAGCAGTAAATAAGCTCATTTACTGAAATAAGAGCAGTAAATAAGCTCATTACATCCTACCCAGTATCTCTCCCTGTTCTTCAGGGCAACTGCAGGATTTGACATGACCTTACACACCCAATTTCATTGTTTCTTCTCCACTACAGATCTCTCCTCCTGCTGCACCCTCAGAACTTTCTCCCCTAAGAAGAATCTGAGCCCTTAAAGATTGTTTGTAACTGAATCCATAACGGGGCTTTAGGGTAAATTTGCTTACATTTTTTAGGACTTAGCAAATGACAACGTGGTGCAAAGTTGCACCACTTCCTTCCAACCTCTCTTCAACCCACTGCAGCCAAAACTCCCTGAAGCAACCTTCAGGTTCAGAGCTCAGGTCTAAACCCATGTGCAAAAAAATTAACTCTTGCTGGCTCCCGGTTCTAAAACCCAGTGGGAATAATTAATCCCACTTGTGGGTGAGGCAGAGCCCAATTCTCCCCTCACTTCCCTGCCGGGAAAGAGGCTTTCCAGCTGAACATCATCAAGTTATAGTCTGAGCATAACTTAAACCAGCAGCAATTAGCTTTAATTGCCTACTGCTGCAGTTGCCAGCTGCATGAAATCAAATTATTTTTTCATCCTACACACCCCAGTGAACTGCTCAGGTTTGTTACATGAAATGTGTACCAATGACATGGACCCCAAGCACAGTCACGATTATTTAACTCATACTCTTTAAAAACTCTCCAATTTCTGAAGTGCAGCCTGCAATAACCAGGTCACAGTTACCACTGTGCCTCCTTGCCTTGGCTGATGCAGCTTCCCAGTGTTACAAAGAGGCAATCACAGAAGCAGCCCTTCACATTCTCACTGTTTCCAAGCCATCCCACACAAGAAAAAGACCCAAATCTGCTGGGATAGAATTTTGTATGCCAAAGGTTACTGGCATCCTTCATAAAAAGAAACAGCAATCTGATTTTTTATAATTTAATTTCTAATAACATCCAGTGAGGTATTTGGTCTCAGTGTCCTTTCACACCAGGCAGTGCCTCAGCACCTTCACACACTGCCCTCAGCAAGGGCCACATTCACCTCTGGGTGGGTCTCACAGAAAAGCAGCAAGAGAAGAAACAAGCAATTAAAGAGACTTTCACTTGAGTAGAACCCGAAAGGAACACATAGCCCCAGGAACACAGCACTGGAACTGCTGTTCCCGGGGTTACCCGGCCCTGCCCAAACAGAGGGACGAGAGGAACAGCCGGACTGGCACTGTCACAGCCCAGTTTAGCCCAGGGAGAAGCAGCGGGACCCCGGGCAGGGCACAGGCACCGCTGCCCGGAGCCCCCATCCTCAGCGGCACCCCAGGAGTGCGGGAGCCGCCGGAGCTCTCCGGGAGAGAAAAGCGAGCTGGGACGAGCACAAGCACCTGCTCCAAGCTCAGTTTCTCGTGCGAGCCGTGAACCGGCTGTTTCTCCGCAGCAGTTCTCTGGCTGCTCCGTTATCCCCGAGCGCCCTGCCCACAGGACCGACCCTTCAGGGCGCCCGGACCCCGCCTGAGACCGCGGGGACCACCCCGCCCGCCCGCCGGGACCCTCCCGACCCCCGCCGGGACCCTCGCTCACCGGCCCGTGCCCGCCGCTCCACCCGCTGCCTGCAGCCGCCGCCGCCGAGTAGCGCCGCGCCGCCAGCTCCCTCCCGTCCCCGGCGACCCGGCCGGCGCCGCACCCGCAGCTCCCGGCCTCGGCAGCCCCCGCTGATCCCGCTATTCCCATTCCCATTCCCATCCACACTCCCAGCAGCAGGAACGCCCCGCGCGCGGCCCCGCTGAGCGCCGCCATGTTGGCGCCGGGATCACGTGCCGCCCGCCGTCACGTGACCGCCCGCGTCTTAAAGGGGCCGCGCCGCGCCCTGAGGGGGCGGGACTGGAGGGGGGCCCGGCATGGCCCCTCCTGTCCCCTCACTGCGGGACATGGAGCATCCCTGAGGAGGAGGGGCTGCTTCGGGCCTGTTTAGTCTAGAGAAAAGTGAAAGGGGATTTCACCCATCCACAGAAACATCTCAAATATCCACACAAGTATCTAATCTCAGAGGGGATCTCACCGATCCATACAGAGATCTCGAATATCGATACAAATATCTCATCTGAGGGGGGAGCTCATCAATCCATACAAATGTCTCATCAACCCACGTAAGTATCTCAAATATCCACACAAATACCTCACCTGAAAGGGGATCTCACCAATCCATAGAAATATCTCAAATATCCACACAAATACCTCACCTGAAGGGGGATCTCACTGATCCATAGAAATATCTCCGAAGGATGCCAAGAGGATGGCTCCAGACTCTTTTCAGTGGTGCCCAGTGACAGGGTGAGGACAATGGCCATGAACTAAAGCACAACAAGTTCCACCTCAACACGAGGAGGAACTTCTCTCCATGGAAGTGGCAAAGCCCTGGAACAGCTGCCCGGGGGGGTGGTGGAGTCTCCTGCTCTGGAGACATTCCAAACCCAACTGGAGACATCCCTGTGTCACCTGCTCCAGCTTGGAGTGATGATGTTATTCAGGAGTATTTAAAATAAGGGCAAGTTTAAACCACGTAGATATGTTTAAGGAGAAGAGAGGAAGTGTCCAAGGGCAGGTTGGATGGAGCTTGGAACAACCCGGGATAGTGGAAGGTGTCCCTGCTCATGGCAGGGGGTGGAATGAGTTGAGCTTTGAGGTCCCTTCTAACCCAAACCACTCTGGATTTCAATTTTTCACGCCTAAAAACATGTTTTACCAAGGATGACGCAGCCACTTTCGTGGCAAAAACATCACCATTGAGGGGAGAAATAGCACTGGAGGGGGAACAAGAGAAACCTGCTTTTCTTTCCAAGTGAAATCAAATGCTGTTAATGCAGATTTGGGTTGGTTTTTTAGTTGTTTTTTTTTTTTTTACAGGAGTTTTCAGTGCAGGTCACCAAGAAGCAGTTTGTACCCAGGTGAGCCCACTGTGTGAGCCAACAGGTCAGGGATGGAAATGCCTCTACCCAGAGCTGTCAATATCTGCTACCTCAGGGACCTGGTAATTCCCTTGTTTTCCTACATTTTTCCCCGTGTAGTTGTTGAAGATTTTGCTGCTCTGTCATGTAAATATTTACTTTCTGTGGGAGCTTCAGGACTCAACACAATGGATCCTCTGGATCCTCCTTCACTATGCTGAGAGAAATCTTGACTCATCCTGTGGGATATTAATTTGAAATATTCAATATATTTTTTGCATATACAGGCAGCAAAAAGAAGCACGACCAGAGTGAAGGAGGGGTTTTATTGCTTGCTTTGTGTTAGTACTCAAAGGAACTCCACTCAGCTGTGTTTGCTCTATGAAATTTTACTGTGTGTAAAATGGCAGTGCTGGGAGGCCTCACAGGGATGGATTCCAATTATCCATCATTAGTCCCTTTTGCCCCGTGACGTGCTTTAGAAAAGCATCAGAGTGCAGGAAAACAAGTGGATGTAAACTCAATTATAAACCCAGCCCTCGCTGCTTCGGGGGCAGAAAATATAAATATTCCTTTTATGCTGACAGGGGGATCTTTGCCCCACGTGTTAATGAAAGAATCTCTCCGAAAATGAAAATTAAATCCAACTTATTTTCTCCTTCCAAATTTCCAACACGATTTACTGAAATGGCAGCAAAAATGTAGGAATCTCAGTACTACAGACTTCCAGAACTGGAAGCAGTCTGCCAGGATCACTTCTCCTTAATAAAGCCATGGGATTCTGGCTGTGTAATGATGGAATTCTGGAAAATCAGCTGATTCCCAGTGAGCTGGGACAGCTCTGCTGTTCTCATGGCTCGTTTTCCCAGAATTCTTTTGTGCACCATTTGTGTGCTCCCATCAGGAGGGTTTATATTCCTTATTCTCTCTGGAGATGAGATGAAATAATTACAGTTTGCTTCTGAACAACATCCAACTTCCAGTTTGTGATCCTGAGGACTTTGGAGAACTTTTGCTGATCATTTATTGATCATGTCTGTGCTCAGGCAGCTCATCTCTTCCACACAGGCTTTAATTATTCTCTTTCCTCACACCGAGTGCACCACGCTTCTGATTTCACTGCTATTAAAATATGATGGAAATGAGAGAATTTCCAGCCCTTCTCTGCGAGCTGAGGTGTTGCCCAGCATTTGTCAGGGGTGCTTTTCATCTCCCAGGGCTGGCATGGATCTCACTAAAGACAGGAAGCTTTTGTGATCCTCTCCCTCATCGTGAAGACCAACCACGAGCAGGATGAGACAGTTTGATCCTCACAGTCTTGGAATATCTTCTCTCATTTTCTTCCAGGGCTGTTCATTGTGCAGCTGAACCAAGAGCAGAGACAAAACCTGTGCAAACCCACCCTGCAGGCTGGAGTCCTTTCCATCCAAAACAGTCCAAAAAAGTCAATGGTTAGTTGAAAATTTGGCAGAATCAAGCAAGATAATATAAATAAAAAGCAAGTAAAAGATTTCAAATCTCATCTTAATGTCTTTCATCAACACTGAATTGCCATAATTGCTAAAAATGAGGTAGAGATGGAGCAGAATAAGGTTTGAAAAGGAGAAAGAGAGCGAAGTTCGTCAATAGCAAAAAATAAAAATCTCTTGCAAGGTGTTTTCCTGTGGCTGAAATCACATTTGGTTTTGGGTCAAACACACATTACAGCTCTACTACATCTCTAGGCTGAAGTGATACCTACCAAGTAGCAAGAGCATGTAGTGACAGGACAAGTCATGGATTCAAACTGACAGAGGAGGTTTGGATTGGATTTATGGAAGGAATTCTTACCTGTGAGGGAGGTGAGGCCCTGGCACAGGTTGCCCAGAGAAGCTGTGGCTGCCCCATCCCTGGGAGTGTCCAAGGCCAGGCTGGACGGGGCTTGGAGCAACCTGGGCTGGTGGAAGGTGTCCCTGCCCATGGCAGGGGGTGGCACTGGAGGGGCTTTAACGTCCCTTCCAGCCCAAACCATTCCAGGATTCTGTGATTCTATGAACTCCTCGGCCTTTGAAGAACTCAGGCCCAGAAGCAAACGTGGTCCGTGAGAGAAAATGTGGCCTTTGGTGTTTGGAGGAGGAATGTCTCCGGAGAGGGAGGCTCCACGCCCTCCCTGGGCAGGCTGTTCCAGCTCTCCCACGCTGCTGCCGCTCGGATTTCTCCCTCAGCTCTGGAGCTGTTTCCAGGCACGCTGCCTGCAGAGCTGCTCAAGGTGTGCAGCAGGCACAGCTTTGCCCTGGCTCTGGTGACAGTCCTTATGTCACCGCCTGCCCTGGCTGCAGCCACTCACAGCCTCCACCCGCTGAACCATCCAGAGATTAGATTTGCTTACACAAGAATTCATTAGGATTATCTAATGATATTAGGCACCTCTACTCTGCCAAATTCCTGATGAGTAATGGCTTGTAGTATTGCAGCCATGGAGGAGAACCATAAAACCGTGCACTGACCTTCGCTTCAGCTCCTGAGTCACGGCCTTCTGCTCCTGCACGTCCTTGCTCCCGAGCCACAATTCCAGCTCCTCTGGAGCTGTTTTTAATGGACAACCAGTGCCGTAGGAGGGTGTGTTGAGTTGAGCCACTGGCTGATCCAGGCTTGTTCCCATTCTCCAGCGTCATCCCACTGCTGTGGAGAGCAACAAGCAAGGAGCCTGGCAGGAGTTCCACACCATTCCCTGTTATCCACACAGTACGTGGGTGTGGGTGGAAATGAGCACAGGGAAGTGTTTCCTTCACCTGCTGCCAGTAAAGGTGATACAGTCGTTTCACAGGCAAACGTTGCACCCATCTCTAGATGGCTCTTGGTGCTGCCAGCCAGCCACGTGTACCCCACAGAGGGCATGGAAAACAGGGTGTGATTGTGGAAAATAGCTTTGGTTAACGTTTAAGGACAAAGTATTGCTTAATGCAATTAATGAATGGAATAGTACTATAATCTTAATCACTGCTGTTCATCCTGGCTGAAGCTGTGATATCACACGCAGACAGGCTGTCACGTTAGGGACAAACCTGTGACACCGTTCTAGTGCAGAGGAAACCCGGTGAAACTCTCTCCGAGCTCTGAGCTGTTTCTCTCAGGACAGCCGTGTTTCCCCACTCCCGCCCTGCTCACCGAGGGCTCCCACCTGAGCACCCGCAGAAGTGACACCACGTGTGCCAGCAGCTGCAGCCTCAGACCTCACGTTTAGGGTTTAGGCGTCACCTCCCCGCTATCCCGCGCTGCCGACACCAGATTTACTCAGCGTTTACTCAGTGTTTACTCTTCCCGGCCGGTTTTCCCGCAGCCCCTGTGCCCGGTACCCCCGCACCGCCGCACCCCGGGACTCCCGGGCGCAGGCAGCGCCTCGCGCCGCCCGCTCTGGGCTCTGTGCGCAGCCTCCCGACCCCAACGGGGGGGGTCCATCCCATCCCATCCCATCCCATCCCATCCCATCCCATCCCATCCCATCCCATCCCATCCATCCATCCATCCATCCATCCATCCATCCCTCCATCCCCATCCCCGAGCACACGGACCGGCAGCTCCGCTCCCCCCGCCCGGGGTGCGGCGCGGGGCACGCTGGGAGTTGTCGTCCTGGGGGGCGCCGCCGTAGTTGGCGCTGCGGTGGCGGGACTCGTTTTCCCGGCGTGCCCCGCGCGGTACTTAAGGCGCGGCGCGGGGCGCAGGGTGCAGTGACCATGTGGACGCGCGGCTGAGGCGGTGCGGGCGCAGCCTCGGGAGCGGGACCGGGATGGGGTTGTCCAGCCGCACATAGCCCGCCCCGCCGCCTCCGCAGCCAGGTACGGCCGGGGAAGAAGGGAAGGGGGCGGCGAGCGACCGCCGGGAGAGCTTCGAGCCGCAGCCTGGGGGATGCAGCCGGTGCTGGGCGGGGATGCCCGCGGGATGCAGCCGGTGCTCGGCGGGGATGCCCGGCCGCCGGAGCCCTGGCAGGACGCGGCAGGGACCCTCTGCCCTCCCGGCGGGTCCCGGGAGGTGGCGGGCCGGGGTTCCCTCCCCAGGACCACCGGGGGCTCGGCGGTGCAGTCCCGTGTCCGCTCCAACTTTCCCCGTGTTTTTCCCCCCGTACCCGGGGCTCAGCCGCGAGGGATGTTCTGCGTTATGTAAACACCGGCGAGCGCCGATGGGGACTTGGCTACGGGCGATCTTCCTCTTAAATGGTCAAAAGCCGGGCGGCGGTGGGTGGATGTTTCGGAGGGTCCCGGGGACTGGCCCGACAGCCCAAATATTTGGCTGTTTCCTGGACTACACTAACTGGACTGGAGCGGGGGAAGGGGTGGGGGCACATGTGCATTCCCCATCCAGGGATGTGGGATGTGCCATAATCCCGAGCGGCTTTACGCCCTGGTGCTGGCAGCTCCGCCTGGTCGGTGCTGCGGGTTGTGCCGGGGCCGGAGCTGCCCCGGGGCCGTGCGGGGTCCGGGGGCTCTGCCCGCCCGCAGCGGGCACAGCTCGGCTCGCTCAGCCTCTCCATCCCTGCCCCGCGTGGGGCCAGGCTGGCTCGGAGTTTGTAGGAAAACAGTCCAACAGGTGAAAGGTTTGACTCAGATTTGTGCCGTGCAGCAGTTCTGTGCCCGCTCAGCACAGATGGATCGGGCTGCGATCCTGCTGCTCGCAAATCAGGAAGGGAAAACGTGGCTAATACAATCCAGATCTTTGCCTGATGAAGATTTAGTGGCTGCAGTCGTGTATGGAGTAGCGTGTGAGGGAGCCCTTCATGTTATGTATTGACGAGGGTCGGTACCTGTGCGTGTGCTTTGTGTTGTCAATGTGCGTTTTGTTTGCCTTGGAGCTTCTTTTCCTGCGCTCGGAAGTTTGCCTGCTATCCCAGGACTTCCAGACTTGTTGAGCCAAGGCCTGGCTGACTCTGAGCCCAGACCAGAGGCCCTCAGTGGAGCTGCTCTCCTTGCAGGGCTCAGCTCTGTGATGGGATGTGATATAAACCCACTGGCTCTTCCTTTCTTTCTGTGGTTTCTCTGTGGCCAAGTTAATGGGCTACCAGGCACTGGGTTTTCTGTTTGTTGATTTTCTGGACCTTAATTGAAGCCAATTTCCTCGCACAGCAAATATTCCAGTTCTAAGTGCCCGGTGGTTTTGCCAGTGTAAGGTCTGTGCCTGGAACAATAATGGGGTTCACGGTGTCATGGCTGGAGCAGAGCTTTGGTTGCTCAGCACTGGTGGTTCAGTGAATGGAGAAAGGTGGTGGCATCAGTCAGGCCATAAATTCTGGTGTAAGAACTTGATGACACAAATGTGAAAGTTGACCACATTGGAAACCAAGTGTCTTGAACTGGTGCAAAGGTGTAGAGCTCAGTGTGTTTAAACCAGAAAAGGAGTCACTGTGGAAGTAAAACCATAGTTACAGTGTGTTTCAGAACTAGCTGTCAAGTAAGCTGATCCTGAGCTGATTATTTGTAATGTTTTCTTTAATCTCTTGTTTGTCAATAACAGGGTTTTTTCTCTTAACATGCCTTATTTCCCTCTGAGATTAAAGTGTTTGCTTGGATGAGATTTTTTTTACCCCATCTGTTTTGCAGCATTAAGTCTTGAAAATAGAGTTTCCTCTTACTTAGGGGTTCATAAATTAGGAAGTAAACAAGCAGCAAGAGTAACTTTGGTTTGCCTTTGCAATCGTGGGTGGAGCTTTACTGGGGGAAATGGTATATCTTTATAAGATTTGCTAATCCTGAACCCCATCAGTGGAGGGTGGAAGAGGCTCTGGTGAAGAGCACGGAAGGGGTGAGCAGTTGGTGTGCCTCTTTGGTGATGGTTGTTGGAGCTGCAGCTGTGGGTAAGAAGAGGTGGGTGGAGGAGGTGTCCTGGGCCTGATGAACAGGGTGTAAAGGGCAGCTGTGGTCTCTGCTTATAAATGGGAAGTGATTTCAGGAGGAATTCTTCATGGAAAGGGTGGTCAGGCATGGGAAGGAGCTTCCCAGGGAGGTGGTGGACTCCCCAGCCCTGGAGGTGTCCAAGGAAGGCCTGGACGTGGCACTCAGTGCTCTGGGCTGGGGGACAACGTGGGGATTGGGCACAGGTTGATGGTCTGAGAGGGCTTTTCCAACCTAAATGACTGTGTGATGTCATCTTATTCATGGCACCATCAGTCCTCTCATGTCACCTCAGCAAACCTGTGTTGGTGTGGGGCAGTGTAGGAAGTGGAAAAATCCAGTTCAAGTGAAGAACTAATCTGGGGTGCTGGCAGCTCACAGGTGTCACTGTATGTTGGAGCGGGACTCAAAACCATGAGGTCCTGCTGTTGTGGTGGCAGGTCTTGGTGTGATTTTACAGTGACTGCTGTGGTAAGGGCAGTGCTGAATGACCATGACACAGTGATAGCATGAGAAGAGGGCTGGTCACCTGCAAGGGTGGCAGTTTGGAGTGCAATGTGTGAGCAGGGTTCCAGCTCCTCCCCTGCTCTGTGTGTGTGTGTGTGCGTGCAAGGGAACAGTCCCAGTGGCTGGTCAAGTGGGTGAGGTCCAGAAATCCCTTCTGGAAGCAGAAGCTCCTTCTGGCTGCTTTATGTAAGGTGAGCTGAAGTGGAGAGTATTGAGGTGGAACTTCTGTTTCAGTACTTTGAAGCTGGATTAAAACAGGTTGGGAATATCTTGAGCCCTGCTCAGGTGCCTGCCCCCGGGTGGGGCCGTCAGGGGAGCAGGTGTATCTCGTCCTGACAACCCTTCCAGCAGGTGTAGCTGCTCTTGGGCTCATTTGTGCCCGGATGGGCAACGAGGCCAATGGCACCTGGGCTGTACCAGCACTGGTGTGGCCACAGGACCACAGTGACAGTCCCCTGTGCTGGGCAGTGGTGAGACACCTGACTGCTGTGTCCAGGTCTGGGCCCTCATGGCATGGGAGACACTGAGGGGCTGGAGCGTGTGCAGGGAAGGGAATGGAGCTGGGGAAGGGGCTGGAGCAGCAGGAGCAGCTGAGGGAGCTGGGGGGGCTCAGCCTGGAGCAAAGGAGGCTCAGGGGGGACCTTCTGGCTCTGCAACCCCCTGACAGGAGGGGGGAGCCGGGGGGGGTCAGGCTCTGCTCCCAGGGAACAAGGGACAGGAGGAGAGGGAACAGCCTCCAGCTGTGCCAGGGGAGGGTCAGGTTGGACATCAGGAGGAATTTCTCCCTGGAAAGGGTGGTCAGGCATGGGAAGGGGCTGCCCAGGGAGATGGTGGAGTCCCCGTGCCTGGAGATGTTCAGAAATTGAGTAAACTGGTGGTATTGGCCAAAGGCTGGACTTGGTATCTTGGAGGTCTTCTCCAGCCTTCATGGTCCTGTGATCCTGGTTGTGTTGTTGGCTGTTCCCCCGTGGTGCTGTGTGTGGTGGTTCCTCAGTGCAGAGCAAACTCCTCTGGAGTATCGGGTGTGTCAGGTTGCAGAGTGTGCTGGGAGTCTTTGAGACATTATTACCCCATGAATACAAGACAGTTGTAGTTGTAGGATTGTGTCTTGGAGCCGGGAGGATGCTCAGATGCCGTGGGAGGTGGGATGAGGGTAGTGGCTCTGTAGTAGCTGGTAGACGAGCTGCTGGCTCGCCCGTGGGTGTGTGTGAGGGAAGGCAGCTCCACCACAGCCTCCTGGAGACCAGGGGGGTTTGGAGGGAGAGAATCCTGTGCTGCTGCCGAGTTATGTAAATGTAACGTCTCTGTCACGATGAGACTGTGGTATAAATCCTGAGCCCTAAAAATCTGTGTTACTGTATGTTCCAAAGTGGTTTCCTCTGCTGAGATAGCAAAGGAATCTGGAGGTGCTTTGGTACCTGGAGCCTGTTTTGTGCCTCTTGTGTGTGACAGTGCACAAGGGGAGGCAAAAGCCACTGAGCTTCATCCAGAGGGCTGTGCTGGGACTGCACAGGGGCTGCTCCATGGGGTACTGTGAGGACCAGACTGGAAGAGCCAGCAGAAAGTGTCCCTGGGCTGGGAGCCGGATTCTGTCCGTGTCCACAGCTATTCCAAACGATTCCTGTGCTCATCCGCCGGGCATCTCCCAGGGGCTGCTGAGGGAGGCAGGATGCCAGAACAGCACGAGCTTTGATCTGGCTCAGTATCCCTCTCTGATTTCTGTTCCCCACGGACACTCCAAAAGCACTCCAGCAGTTATTGCCTGGTTCTCTGTCTTGGCTCTGTGCATTGCCTGGGGCTGGAGGCACATCCCTCTTTCCAGGGTGCTGCAGCTGTGCTTGGATTGGCAGAGGCAACCACGGGCAGTGTGTGTCACTCTTGCTTGGGCTGTACCTGTAGAGAATGTACATTTCCAGGTCTTCAGAGCAGTTGTGGTTTATGGGATCAAATTCCTTTGGGGAAAAATTCGCCCAGAGAAGCTGTGGCTGTCCCATCCCTGGAAGTGTCCGAGGCCAGGTTGGATGGGTCTTGGAGCAACCAAGTGGAAGGTGTCCCTGCCCATGGTAGGGGGTGGGACTGGATGAGCTTTAAGGTCCCTTCCAACCCAGACCACTCCATGATTCTGTTCTATGAAAAAAATGAAGATGAAATGGAAACTCCAGGAGTTGTAACTCAGGCGAGGAAAGCTGTGACGTTCAGCTGTGGATTCGGAACTCAGAGGAGTTTCGTTTTCATAGCTGTGGTTTTGGTTGAGGCTGTCAAAACTTGGATCAGAGCTTCCTAAGTGTTATATGGGGAATAAAATGTCACTTCATATCTGAGCAAGTTAACCCTCTAGAGGGAAAAATAGGTTGGAAATGTGCCTGGAAGCCTGTGTTGTTTGGTGGTTTATGGCTTGTGGCAATGCAGTGCACCCTCACGTGCCAGATGCCAGTGTGAGGAGTGCT